TTAAACCCCCATTAAACCCCCATAAACCCCCATCAAACCCCCATTAAACCCCATTAAACCCCATCAAACCCCATTAAACCCCCATACAATCCCCATTAAACCCCCATTAAACCCCATTAAACCCCATAAACCCCCATCAAACCCCCATAAATCCCCATTAAACCCCCATTTATCCCCATTATTCCCCATAAATCCCCATTAAACCCCCATAAATCCCAATGAAACCCCCCTAAATCCCCCATAAATTCCCATTAAACCCCATTAAACCCCCATAAATCCCCATTAAACCCCCATTAAACCCCATAAACCCCCATTATTCCCATAAATCCCCAATAAACTCCCCACACCCCGCCCCGAATCCGCAGCCCCGCTGACCCAGGCCAGGTTTTCCCGCAGCAGTTGCCGGCCCGGCAGCAGCCGCAGTTTGCGCTCGGGCGGCAGCGGCAGCAGCAGCAGCGGCGCCAGCGCGGGCGGCCGCGGCTCGGCCGGGCGGCGCAGCAGCGCCACCTGCAGGGCGGACTGCAGTTCCTGCAGGGGATTGGGGGAAAATAAAGGGATTTTGGGCAAAAACAAAAAATGTCATTTTTGGGGTTTTATGGGGTTTTGTGGGGGGTTTTTGGGGGATTTTTTGGGGGGGTTTTTGGGGGGATTTTTTGGGGATTTTTGGGGATTTTAATGGGATTTTTTTGCGTGATTTTGAGGGATTTTTGGATGATTTTTGGGTGATTTTTGGGTGATTTTTGGAGATTTTTATGCGATTTTTGGGATTTTTTAGGGATTTTTTGGGGATTTTAAGGGATTTTTGGGGTGATTTTTTAGGGATTATAATGGGATTTTTTGCGTGATTTTGAGGGATTTTTGGGTGATTTTTGAGGGATTTTGGGGGATATTTAGGGATTTGATGGGATTTTCCAGGGAATTTTTTGGGGATTTTTGGGGTGATTTTTAGGTATTTTATGGGATTTTTTGGGTGATTTTTTGGGGGATTTTTGGGTGATTTTTTAGGGATTTTATGGGATTTTGTAGAAATTTTTTGGGGATTTTATGGGATTTTTTGGTGATTTTACGGGATTTTTAGGATGATTTTTTGGGGATTTTAATGGTATTTTTTGCGTGATTTTGAAGGATTTTTGGATGATTTTTCGGTGATTTTTGGGTAATTTTTTGGGGATTTTTGGGGGATTTTTTAGGTATTTTATGGGATTTTTTGGGGGGGTTTTGCGTGATTTTTGTGGGATTTTTGGTTGATTTTTTGGGTGATTTTTGGGGGGTTTTTAGGGCATTTTTGGGGGTTTTTGGGGATCCGGCTCGGCCGGGCGGCGCAGCAGCGCCACCTGCAGGGCGGAACGCAGCTCCTGCAGGGAAATGGGGGAAAATAAAGGGATTTTGGGCAAAATAAAAAATGGGATTTT